TCCATCAATATTTTAATACACTTACTGACATTTGGTAGACTTTTGTCTGAAATTTTCTCTCATCTTCATTTAGAATCATCTTATATGATGTAATAAAAATATATATATAATAATCTGCTCACTGATGTTTTATCCTTTAGAATTAAATCACTATATCAATAGATAGAACAGTGACAACTATGATGATAGAGTACTAGTTACTTGAAGCTGTGAGCTATCTGCTTCTCTTGTCATTCATGAGATCATGAACGGATTGACTAGATGAGGAAACCAGATTAAACCTATCTACAACTCAACATGCCTTTATGATTCATATCAAAACACGTTTGTTTTCAAAGAATAATTACAATGAATTTACTCGTTAGAAATTATTACTCATTTCAAAAACAACTTCACTTGTTACTTCAACTCGAGATGATGTCTGAAGTAATCGGAAAATTAGAGTCACTGTTGTGCAAATTACGTTTGCGTTTGTTTTGTATAAAATCAGATGCATTTGATTCAAGTGATCATGAGCGATCATCATCACTACATACAAATCGTAACGGCCATTTCAAGACTTATGTAGCTAATCAATTAAAACCGACTTTATCAGTATTGCACGAATAAGTTAAGCCAGTACACAAGCCTCTTTGTAAGAATCGACTTGTTAGATCAAGATGATCATCACGCTCATAATGGGGTTCATTCGCATTCAAAATTGAATTCTTCGTGAAAGCTTACCCGCAGAACACTGAAATAGCAAATATTGTTATTGTTTAAATTCAGTCACTTCATAATTTCTCATATCCCATTTTTTCGCTGTGCACCAGCCTTAGATTTATCACCTTGCAACTGAGCGACAATGATGTATGAACAGACTTCCTAAAATTAACAATCAAGCTGATCAAAAGCTTGCATATTTGATCATTTTTCAACTGATCACAATTAGTTCAATACCAAACAATGAGTTATCAAGTATGCAATGATCTCATTGAAACGTATTGTATTCGAATGTTATTATCTATGTTTATGCATTGTTATGTATATGATTACAGATTGCAATTAATTGAACTTACAGTTAAAAAGAATTACAAACAATATGTAAGCGTTTGATAGAGGAATCTTGTTGTGGCTGAAATAGTTTTTGTACTTCAGATGTTCGATGAAGATGCATACCAGTTGTTTCGAGAATGCGTGTACCGAATGAACGATTTGCAAAAACTCTTTACTTTAATTACATTGAATAAAAGCATGATGGATGGATGGATGGATGCTGTGAACTGAACAATACAAGATATATTATTTTGTGTATCATGATGATCACGTGATAAATACAAATTAAAACACGATGTTATAGTGTTCAGAGCCAACCAGACTACGATCTTTACGTTGATGAGAGCTACATAAATGTCACTCAGGTTTCAACAAGGAGAAATTTAACACAGTTTCGATGATTTAACTGAAGTATTAAACAGATGTATAGCTTGAAGATTAAATAGCTGGTTTCTGTAAACGACAATATTATACGGATCAAATAATAAATTGAATCGAATCAATCAATAAAAGCAACTTATTTGATGGAGAGAAAGTATGGACAGTGAAAATAGTACGTTACAACCTATTAGCAACTGAAGAAGCGACTTTCGAGAATGAACAAACCTTAGAGTATCTAGGCTACATCTTCAATGAACACTGTAGATCTGACACAGATGGGAAAGCAAGAATTAGCAGAACAGAGGATTCATTTATAAAAGTAATGGCATATCAAAATCACTACAACTACTGAGATAAATCCAACTTCAAATTTCGTTCACGAACGTCGAAAGGTTCATGATGTATGGAGCATTCACATTGCTTCCTTCGAAAGACATCATCTGAGAACTACACTTGTGAGTGTACAGCTAACTTCTAACTAAACTGAATATCTGTCAACGTGACAATAATGACATAATCAACTTGGTATGTGAGGGAGGATTGTATTCGAGCAGGTGAAGATATATTGAAGGAGCACTATTGGTCATATACAACAAGGTGACAGAAATCAATCAACTTATTGACAACAGATATGGTAATTTCGATTTCTCGCGGACATACAAAAATAAATGGCACTCGAAAACATCTGTTGTTAGAATTATACACAAAAAATTCATTTGTATATTTGGGGAATTGAATATGCGAAAAATTAATGTAGGATAATATCGATTCTTCAAGCTAATTGGAATCAAACACGTTGATCAGTAACATCAAAACACCAATTAAATTTTGTCATTTTTATGTGCAATTAGATGTGTTGTTCTTGTTCATAAATGTATGTTCACAAATGTATTGGACATTGAAAATCATCAATATTTCACATGTCATCAAAATATGTAACGGTGATGACATTTATTTTACATCATGGCAGTTCTGTTTTGCTATAAAAATAATACACTGCACTAGTAACATTACTACTATAGATATGTACACTACTGAACTGAACATAATAATACATGTTGTGATTAATATGATACAAATATTCATTTTAGTTTACAATACAGTCGAGTGAATCTTTTCAAATTAGAATTCTATAATCAAACTCTACGTTTATTCACTTGAAGACCATTAGTGCCGTTGTGTATTTCAGACAAAAAAGGGGATGCTGAATAGAATGGTAATACGATAGTATGAGGATTGCTTGAAACGGGCAGTTTGTGTCTATTTCCGATCAGAATATTATATGCTGGTTCACGTCATTATATTCAGTGAACAAATCATTTACTAAAAATATTTCACCCTGTAGCGTATGACGTAATAAAAATCAATACATGAGAATGGTCCATCAATAACGGATATCAGTATGGGAATGCTATATAATTTACTGGTAATGCTATAGACGTGAGTACATATGAGTTCAAACGTTTAGTCAAGTACTGATTTCTAAATGGTATTTAGTATATTTTAACAACCATTTTCGACAACATTTTCGAAGTTATTTGTACCGGTGTTGTGGCACCAACAATTGATCATGACGACGTGGAAGGTAAAAAATATTGGACAGGTATACGTCAAATTGCCAAGATCGTTTACTGAGCTCCATAGAAGTCTACTTAACTTCGTTTGCTCGAGTGCACGAATAATGTATTGTTTTCCTGCAAATTTACAGCATTTATTAGCCGTGGTATGTGAATTAAAATGAAAACTTGGTAAGTAGATTTGTGTTAGCCATAAGTTAACTTGTAGCCGACTGTGGGCAATTTTCAGTCCGTATGTTGGAACAATTGTCAACATAATAATAAAATCAAATGACTGTGTACACCGAAAACGGTTGCGTTTGAAAACATTTATAATTGTGGTGTTTCGTTAAAGACTGGAAATTGGACTTTGAAAATGTCACACAACACTATTAATTGTGGCCTAATGTACGAGAAAGCAACTGTCCTAAATTTTGTCTTTCCATCGGATCTGCAAAATTATGAACACCTTTCATAGAGATGTCATTAGGATCCCTACCGTCACCAGTGAACTTACGGAACATAACGTACTAGATTAGGTCACGATTACAAAATAAAATTTTGCTCGAAGGCACGCTTCGATATTGTCGTTTCGGCTTGAGAGTACGGGAACAATTGACTTTAAAATTGTAGGTGTGTTGCGCAATATTATGAATAGGTTGTTTGAAATCTATATGAAAGTCGGTGAATACAAACATTGTAATTATATACAGATATACCCGAACTAACGAAAAAACAGACTTGCAATATCTCCTTGAATGTGCTAGATCACTGTAAGGTTTAGTATATAATATATCACAAATCCAGCACCATTTTATAAATTGTGTGTTCATTTGAACGATGGTTATCATGTAGACGCTGAACTGAGCTTGCAGGTTGATTCGAACACATGAAATGCATGGAACACAATACTGACACCTGATGTTAATTCCTGAATGAATGCTTTAAGGTGGAGTATGCTTTGTACAACTTATAAGGTCGAAATCAATTTCAATTGCATTTTCAATAATTTCAAAATTTTATATAAACCTACATAACTAATTTACCTTATCTGGAAAACTGACTGTGAATAAACAGGACTACAAAACATGAACTAAGAACAAGGTATACAATTTTCGGTGAAACAGTCCTGTGCACAAGATTACGTAATAAACATAATCTTATTTAAATTTCAACTAAATACCTAGTAGGAGTAGGATACAGAGCTAGTTAAACTCTATGCCCGACTTCGATAAGTTTCACTGGAATGATAGGTCGCTTACTTTCAAAACTAAGTCGAAAACCCAATGGAGATGGATAGACTGCTCGTCTTAGTATGAGGACACCGTTAATGCTAATACACCACCGTACAAGTCAGAGTTGCACTTGAGATCACGTTACTGAGACAATTGTACTCACAACGTATCTTGTGGATAAGACTTATCAATGACACATATATTTTGTACAAGAGTGAGTGTTGAAATTTTTCCGATATTTGAATATGAATCAAATCGTTGTATTCAGCAAACTGCTTGATATGCAAATAACAATTCACATAAAAGGATGTTTCGTAAAAGTTAAAATATTTGCTGATTTGTAGGTGTTTTTTTGAACACAGAACATTGGCTAGTCATGCCTAAACACGTTTATTGCTTACTTGTTAGCTCAACAGTGAAAAAAACATCCGTCGATTGGGCAGCTTAAACAAATAAACGAAAACAGTTGACGATATAATACCTATAAATTCCAATCAAACCTTCGCGAATTTCGGATAGAAACCATGCCTAGTTAAAGTCCAGAAAAAGCATTAGACCCCGATAAGTAACAGTACTATTAACAACCATAAATATCAGTAGACATCATTACCTATAAAATAATACAGCTCTGTTATCCTATGGAAAAAGCATTCTTTTTTACTGTTCAATAAACATAAGGATTGACTATATCGAGGTTCTAGATTACCATTATAAAATTTACCAGAAAGCCAAAATTATTGTTCTTTGATGTGATAAAATGTTCATAGAAATACATGAATAAAATAGAAGGAACATGGCAAAACGTGTTAAGGGTTTTAGCAACGAATGTAAGTTGACCAATCCAAATCGAATTATGTAATTTTCAGGCTTCAAGATTGCGGAAGAACATCTTACCAGGAGTGTGTACTACTAGTACATCGTTATACGCTCTTCATCAGTAATGCTTTTGAACAGAGTACTGTTAGACTGAGTGAAAAATTGACTATCCAAACGACATTGAGAATCACGGGCGGGATTCCGTAGAATTTCAATGTTGGTATAATAAAATACAGAGTAATTTATATCAATTTTTTCTATTTCTTTCTACGGTCGAGTGAATTACAGAAACGGTAACTTGTAACGAATAGTATAGATTATGGTTCGCGGATGCTGACGCTCTGAAGCTATTGGCCTTTTCATATCCACGCGGAATCATCTTCGAAAAAAATGCATATGATTTAAATAAAATGAAATGAAATGACAAAACAAAGTAAGAATTTCTACATTCAAGGAATATCTCAAATCCAAAAGATTTGATGACATACACCAAAGACACTTATTTCGATGCAAACGTCAAGATCAGATAATACGATGAAGTAACCTACTTTGGTCATCTGGAGAAAGAGGAAAAGAGAATTGCCGAATAGCTGCAAGCAGTGTTTGCAATAGGAATCGATGATTCACGTTTCTTTACTTAACTCTCCGAATCACCATCATATATAGGTATGTACAAGTTATTATGAGATGGTGGAAAAAACTTGTAGCTCAGGTGGATGATTGTGTTGGTTTTTTGTTCTCTGAGCTAATTGTTTTGGTTATTATTCAAGGCATGTAGTGATTGCAGAACACGATCATTCAAACAATTTAATATTCAAAGTAATAAGTAAGAAATAATGTGTAATTTCGATGATATTTACTATGTGAGCTCAGTTGAGTTTGGAGTTGAATCATTTTTTGACATTTCAAAGCATCCGCACGTACTTGTTGATCATGTTCACTGTACCTCAAAAGCAATCACAGTTTCAATTGATACACTCGGATTTGATGAACCTATATTTAGTCCAAAGTTCAGTAATCACTAGTCAATCAATGAATGTTGTGAAGTTATTGATGTATTGAACTATAAATTTTGGAAATTATACTGAATCGTGTAAATAAAACGCTGGTAATGAATGATGTGAGTTCCCTTACTTTATTATCAATATGTCAATCCAGCTTTAGGTTTCATAATTTCATTTTGTGTAAAACAGTCTTTATTGTTTAGATGCATTGGATGGCATTGACTATTTGAAAATGGATAAGTTTTTATTAACCGTAGATTCATAAATAGATTGATGGATATGTAGATAGATTGATCGGAAAAACATTCAGATAGACAGTTGGATGAAACATTGTGATGGGCAGAATTCCAGAATTCTTCAAAATCTAAACTTGTAAGTATACCTGCCAACAATCACTTAACCGTGAACGTACAATTTTAAAATTATTAGTTGATATTTCTGTGTTATTCATGTAATTACATAGTGCGATTTTGCATATTGTATTTTTGCTTATCCAGTTTATCGTGAAACTGTCGACTTTGTTCAATCTGAACATTTCAACGAATAAAGCGAGGGCATTCGCTTCAGTGTTAGAAGCTAATAACAATAACGCAATTTGTCATTCTACATCGTGCATGTAATTAAATAACTTTTTCTAACAATTCATCATTATCGTGGCAGATTTTTTCTGGCCTGTTGCAAGGATCCAGGTCGTTTATCTGGTGTCACATTATTGTAAGTCATAAAACATGGAAGAACGTGTGAATCTTTTTTATGTATTATTGATTGAGATATTGGTGAAAAGAGATGATATGAAGGAAATCCTAATAAATCCTAGGGTTACTTACGCACTGTCCATTTTAGTTATGTTTCTCTTAAATGAATGTGAACACTTCGCTTGTTTACATTGCTTCTAGTATATCGAATATACATTTCTTGAAATTTCTGATATTTCGTACCACACTGAAAATACACTCCGGTTTATTTGTTTCGAATCGCATTTACGTTCTACAGATTCACAGCACTATTATTCACAGTGATCATTATTATCAACAAAAGATTTCATTCTGCATCTTCAAGAAACGCCCTCTTCATTATCTTAACGGTTAGTCCGAAATGTTCTTTATCATCTTGTTTATTTTCACCCAGTTTTATTAATATTATCATGCTAAATGTTAACAATTCGCATTCATTTTTTTGTATGAGTTCGACTCAACATACAACTGATGTGAATTTTATAATTCAGTGAGTCATGCTTTTGTATCGCTTGTCAGCATTCTCTCTAAAATGCAGTATTACTGATACGCGTATCAGAGAATTCAAATCGCTCATGTTTGTCGAGTTACCATTCAATTTTGTGTCGGACAATGCGTAATTCATCTTCGTCATCATCTTCAAGAAACACTAATGCTGAGCTGATAAAATCGTTATGCTTAAATTATAACGCGTTCAAATAAGTAGTGTAGCGGGAACAAAACAATGAAACAGCGTCCAGGTAGAATACCAAATTTTATCAGCAAGGAGTCTTGATATAGCGTAGAAGTAATATTCTAAAAAAACAGCCAGCACAAAATGAATCAAAATAGTGAAACTGCGTTTATTTAAACTCTATAGAGACGTCCTTGGGGCGGTCACAATAATAGTACACTAAAATGACACAGTAACAAATCACTGACAAGGTTCTCTCTGGTGGGATATGTGATTTTCAAGTCAACTGACCGGTACATGAAAGTAACTCAAAATACAGATATATATGCATTTGGTTGTGAGGATCTAATATACCTCACAATTTGTTTCATGATTATGTTGTTTTTAAATGTGCATGTTTGTCCGTTGCGTGTTATCTTTCAACCGCATATACGTCGTTTGTGCGAAAACAGTTGCGAGATATTCCAAAATTCACAAAAAGCACCTTGCATACATATTGGTAATAGTACTATTCACTGCTCGGAATTCAAACTGAGAAAAGCGCATATACAATTATCCGCCGGCAGTTTATCTCCATGTTCATTGATAGGAATTTTTAATCATAAACTAACACGTTATTTGTTTACTTCTCAGGTAATCGTTTGGATAATCGGTGTTGGATTAATAAGCCCACCTCTTGAGTGGATCGATCGCATTATTGCTGCTAATGTTGCATTATTAATAACGATTCATGCTATCTTTTTTGGTATAAATCTGGAACATTCAGCACGAAAATTGAGGATCGTGTTATTTATTATTTGTTGTTCATTATTAGTGGCTGGAATCATTTTCTCTTATCTTGCAGAAGTTCACAGGTTTTTAAAACATGTAAGCCTATTATTATTATTAACTTTAACATATCTAAAATGATTGTTGACAACTTCTGTTTTCGATTGAACATGATCAACTATTCAAACAAAAGGGTTTACCTGAATCGCAAAATAATAATTAACTTTCGTGATATATACACATCAATAAAAATACTATATTTCTCATTCATAAGTTATGTATGTATAATCATTCAAAATTCACTTTTTTAATTTACGTGTAACTAACAGCATGATGGCATGATGCGAACGATTTCGCAGTTATTGCGCATGTACGACAACGTATGTAAAATAATGAATTATAAAATTCGGGGGAAGGCAGTCGCGATGAATTAAACATTGATCAGCGTTTATGCCATATGTTGTTGAAATAGAACCTCAATAATTCCTGCCGTTATTTCGAGAATACAAATTTTGTTAATAGTACTCATCAAATACATTACTGAAAAATTCGGAGTCAGCTGATCTGATGTACTAATCGCCTTCATGAACAAACACGGAGTTAGTGATCAACCACATGGTGAACATGAATTTAATTGAACTCTGACTTTACACACTGCATTATTGTTGTAGTTTTGCGGAGGTAGATAGTTCAAGGATACGAATCAGAAATTCACACTGAATATTTTTGTATCTCTGCTTCAGAATATATTTGAAATTCTGTCATTGATCAGTTGGTGCGGTGGAATGTTTATGGTTAGTTGCTCATGAACTGATAAATTTCCTCATAATTTAGTATTTTTGCACATTGAGCATTGTGAATATCGTGGAAGAGACATGAAATAAAACTGAAGAATTTACGAAGTTATCCTTGAATGAGAGATCGAAAGTGTAAATGCCTTCATTTCCGATGTTTAAATAGGAAGGCTTGAATATTAGTAATTGAATAGGGAAGATTTGATATTTTTTAGTTTCTTTCGGGTGATCTCATAAACGTCGATGGATCAAATGATCGAACAAATAACTGAGATTTTATTTGATTTATCTGAATGAAGCTTACTTACTAGACAATATAGACTTCATCAGTAATAGTTCTAAATATATATATATATATATATATATATATATATATATAACATGATCAACTTCTAATTATTTTACTAAACATTATGCATTATACAAATTCAGGTTATTTTACTGACCATATATTACTTGGTGAAGTAGGGCAAATCTGAAAATTACTCTCTATTGTATATGGCTTTGGAACCTTCGTTAGAGTTTTTGATACGTTTGATCATTTAACTATTTAATTTCAATTAGTTTTGCTTTTTTGATAACATAAACCTGACTGCTCTTTGTAATGAAACACAACTGCCGTCGATTACTAGATCTTCATAAAAAATTTAGATTTATGTAAACGCTTTCCTCACTTTTACTAATAAAATTTTATCCCATAGCAAAACTGGCATTTGAACGACTTTTGTATTAGGTTTTGTCAAATGTCCATTTAGATCAGTTCCATCAGTTAGACAATAAAAATGAGAACATCAGAGGAACTAGTTACATGCACTGTAAGCCAATAGCTACTCTTGTCTATACGGAGATCGATTATCTCTCTCTCTCTCTCTCTATATATATATATAAATATATATATATATATATATAGAGAGAGAGAGAGAGAGAGAGAGTCCGGATTACTGGAATAAAGGAAGATCGAACTTGCAATTGATGCGATCAGGAGTACCAGCCCTCGTGGAGAGCATATGCACATCTACAAATAATTTATCAAATAACAGAACGATGAGATCTGTGACCTCTAGATAATGCTCTTGATCGGTCGGTGGATGCAGGTCTAGACCACCTGAATTACTCGCAACATAAACGTAACTGCAGTGTGAATAAAATTATTTTCATGGATAGAGAAACATCTGTGACTTGCATGAGTCTTCGTGAGTATATTTTAGATATCCGGGTTTATGTTGCAGCGTTGGAAACCGGCTCCCCAAATAAAAGTAAACATGTCTGTAATAATAATAATCTAAAATATCTAGCAACCTTTACCAAGTTGTTGGTCGCAACTGCACTTCAACGACACACGGTTGTAGTACAGACTTAAACATTCCGTAACGCGCATGAACGCTAAAACGGCAGAAACCTCAAGTGGCAATGTATAATTTACTCAATCCACGATCTTGCACGACCATCATTCTTTGTCTTCTGTTAGCGACATCCTCAGATTCAGCACGTTATCACTCTACTGATTACAATGTTTTACTACAATTCCAGAAATATACTCATCATATAGAATGTGCAAAATAAACTTAACCTGATAAATCGATACATTACTTCAAACATAGGAACAGATTGAAAAATTTAATTTTTTGAAAAGTAGGAGAGTTATTTAAGTGACCTGATTGTCTAAAATGCAAACAAAGATGCATCCAAAACCTTTCTGATTACTGAAAATTTGACAATTTTTTAAAATTCTTCTATAACTTGAAGCTTATTGAAGTACAATAATCAGCAGATTACAAGCTCCATTAAATGGATGATTATTGTTCCTAATGAGATTTGATTTCTAACAATTAAATGGGGCCATATGTTTTTTAGAATAGGTTGATGCAGTGAACTGAGCAATACGGGATTTTTCGCTCCCTGTAGTAATGCTTATCGGTTAAACAATATTTACGGTAACGTTCTGTTCATGTTTCAAGATTAGAAAATAGAGGATGTGTCTGCAGCTGTAAGCACCATATGGTCAGTGATGTACTTATAATACTGAAAATGTCCTTGAAAGAGTGTTTCGATTGCAAACTGATAGGCTGGAAACTGAAAACGTGATAATCTACTGATGAAAATGCATGTGAAACAATGTATCATTGTGGATCAACTAATTCAGCGAAACATATCACCCAAAATTTTTCTCAAAAACCAGTCAAGTAATTTACAGGATGATACAACCAACGGCCTTTATGTTAACCTTGTTTGACTGGTGACTGGTCAATGATATACGGAAATATTAGGATGAAGAACACAGAGATATTGTTAAGGGACTTAAGATCACATACTTGTTCCAAGTTAAAATAAATTTCAGAAAACGTTGCTTTCCAAAATACGTTCTTATTATTTTGATGGTTTTCATGATTGCGAGAGCTGGTGAAAAGCAAGGAGTTTGGTTGCAGTTTGACATGCAAATGAACGTTGAGTACTTCAAATATGATATTCACTACTAAATATGAAAAAGGAATTCAAAAATTAATAGTTTTTGTTTGCAGTAAAACACTCCAAAATCGAGCATGCAGGTCAGCTTATAGACATTGTATTTTCACCATATATCAGTTTGTGGCTGTGTTATAACTAAACAATTCGTCATCCTTAAGATTTAGGTAGCTAAAACGTGTTGTCTACTCAAACTGTTAATATCCGTCAGACAGTCAATCAGTTCGAACGTGATGTTTTTGTGCGTATATCAGCGCATGTTTACATTCCGCATCATCAGACAGCCGTCTCCGTCAGATCAAATCGTATATAACAGGAAGAAGTAGGGGAATTACTTAACTACCGAAAATATATAGGATGGTAGATTTCATTCAACATGTATAGTTGAGTGAGATAAATTTAGAAAGCGAATGATGGAGATGATGGGGAATTGTCAAGATTAGAATTTTAGAGAACACAAAGAGCGGATTTACCTGCGTCATCGCAGTAGATTTTGTGGTTTTTAGTTCAAGGCCTCTATCCATCGTTCCTTGTGAGAAAGCGTTATCTCTGCAGATGCTGGGTTTCTGATGAAAACATCCCACTACTCTCCTATCCTTAGAAGTACGAAGATGTCCACGGACCGTGAGAGGTTACTTTCAGTCTTATCGTTCTCCAGCTGCCCTGCAAGGGATGGGAGAACCTTCAAGAGCATATGTTCAAGCCAGTATCGCTCGGTTGTGTCATCGCGATAAACAATCCCTATCAACAGATCAAGGAAAGGGCGTTCGACTAGTGCGAAGAAAATGACGCTATACAAAGTTTCCTGAAAATACAGGTTGCGTAAGAACGTAAATCATTTTATACAGAGTTAGTATCGTCGAGTTCACTGCAAAGATATGCGCGACAGGTAGGTTAGTGTCTTACTTTTAATTAAGATATGTATCTGTCTATAAAGATTACTATCACTTCTCCTGTTTTTATCGATGGTCGACTGGATTATGGAGATGTTAACATTTAAAGAACAGAAAAGAAAAGGGTTGACGACTACCGACTCTTTGACGCTACGGAAAATTTCATATCTATGCAGCATCTTTCTTGTATAAAGTGGATTTGATCTAGATAAAGTGTAACGGAAGAGAAAAGAAACTGGGCAATCCACATTTTAAGGATTATCTCAAGTTCTAATTCCAATCAAACTTTCAGAATAAATTTTTTGATGAAGTAAACAACGGTTGTCCTCAGCAAAAAGATACAACATTTTCAATAACCCTGACCATAATGACAGATATTGAACGCGAATGAAACAAAACACCGAGTGTAAACTACTTCGAATGCAACTTTCAAATTTAAATATTTCGATAAATTTAAATATGGTTGTCATCAAGAGGAACTAACAAGTGTTTATTAACTGTGATGATCTTCACAGATCGTGAGCGCAAAGCAAGAAAATCTAGTAAATATATAAACATACCATGGTTAGATAATTTTAGCGAATTAAAATACACACATCGTGAAAAATCAATTAGTCATCATATCAGTGTTTTAAAAGTTTTGTAAGTTGAAAACTACAAAGGACAATGGAATCCTTTATTGAATTCATATTTCATCATAATATACAAGACAGACTTCAATGAAATATTTTAAAGAATTTGCAATCACACTGTTACATCCCACCTCATCTGGACAACATTTACATTTGAGTCTCTTTTGACACATTGAACACATGAGAAACAGTCTCACTTTCGCTCAAGACTTCACAATGGAAAGGACTTCAGAATGGCTGCCGTCAGAGTTTGTTCTAAACCTGTTCAAACTTTCAATTACGTCTTCAGATATGAAATTGAAAAACACGAAAAGTCTGATGAAGTTATATTTTTCATTCATATTTTGATGTTTTAACAATAGAGTCTCTTGATTCTTTTAAAATCACAATAAAATAATCCAGTGTTACTGCAGAGATAAATGGTAAATACAACTGGGTCACACAACATTTTCTTCTGTACTTCAGCAATGTCAACATTTTCAGTTGTCATTTACCACTACTTGGCCTGAATAAGTCTGTGGTCACGTCAGTTCCAACAAAACAAGGTGAGAAATAAACAAACACAATAGTGGACTTTATTATAATAGGACATCACTAGAGACACCTCAACAGGTAACATTTTGTTGATTGATGTCCGAAGATAAGAATTGCAGATTCACGTTTCTTTTTTGACCATCTTGAATCACTACTACATATAGCAATGTGTAAGTTATTATTCATGGTGTGTAGGGATCGCAGAACACAACCATTCAAAAAATATAACATCCAGAGTTATTAAAATTAGGTATGTGTTAGGTTTCGATGATGTTTGATTCCATGTATTCTCCCTCCCATTATTTATATGAAACTAGGTTGCATAGAAGATAGTTAACTTTTTTTAATTCATAGTTTCTGAGATCTTGTTCACTGAATGTCGAATTGAACAGAGTTTCACGTGTATTACAGAGAGTCTGTATATCGTTATTTAGTCTAAAGTAATCTCTAGAAATCCATATATGTTGTAACGTTTTTGGAGTATGTGACTTTATATACAGAAAATTGTACTGAATTGTGTGATGTTAACGCTGGCATTGAATGATGTGAGTTTGGTAATTCTATTATGCTTATATCACTCGAGATTAAAGTTTAACAATTTGATTCAAGTTATTATTGCATCGATTGTTTCAGTAATTTGAACTGCATCGAATTATTCAATATGTAGAAGCCCAAAGATTCATAGAATCGTAAACAGATGAATAGAAAGATAGAACGATATGAAGAGATATGTTCAGAGACACTATTTCATCGATATTTCTACAATCACTATCTAATTTACCGGTGTAAATTATTTTCCTGCTTTTCAAATCATGAAAAATGTGGTTACCTGCTAATCCACGCCTGACAGTTAAAGTTAAATTGTAAGAATAATTGTTTATATTTCAGTGTAATTCGTCTAATTACATATTGGTTTTCTAAGCATCTTACGTGTTTGCCAGTTCAG